CTCCCTTCCCCGCCACTGGAAGGGGTTGTAGTCGGTAACAAGGGAGAGGAGCATCGTGTAGGTGGTGTGCCATTGCTGCCCGGATTACTGCCACCACAGCCGAAGGCCCCAGAGCCAATTCAGGTCAAGTATGTACAGCTTGATATTAACCCAGACCAGGATGAATATAGCAGTGACTATAGTAGTGAGGTGGGCAGCTCAGAGGAGGATGAAGAAGATTGAGATTTCTTGTCAAGGTTTGTGGGAAATTGTTTAATTTATTATTATGTTTAAATTACTGTAAAAGCAAGCTTATTTGTGAGATTACAGCTGCATAGGCTCGTTGTTTATGAAAAATCTAGATTATGCACTTCGAAAATTTGAAGTTTTCCATGTGTATGGATTGCGAAGAGTAATTTACATGAATTTATCAGAAAACCTTTTTAACTGTTAGTTGTCAGTTATTTCCTTGTTGCTATAGCATGTCTCTCCGAATGTTCAAAATGAATTTGGTTCCATGAAGTTCGGAATCCTTGTGGATTTGCAAAATCTATTTTTATAATGATTGAAAAGCATCGTGTCTGTTTCTCTGATTGAATTTAGTTTTTAGCATTGAATTTCAAACCTTTAATTTGGTTTGATTTGCCATGCATTCTTATCTGTTTGTTATTTTTGGTTTGTGAGTTGCAATGTCCAACATCACAAATTCTCATAAAAGCATGGTTTGTGTACTTTAAATTGCATATTAGTATATTGTTCTATTGCAAAATTTTGAAATCTGAATTTTTTGTTTTCAACGAGCATTTAGAAATTTTATATGAAAGTCTATTTTCTTTATTGCTTTATTGCAAAATTGCGCTTCAATCCTTTTGCTTACAATAATATTTATCGAGCAAGCTCTAACATTTCGTAGTCCACAAAATATCATGCATGATTTCCCTTCAACAACATGAATTTGAGTACACTAGATAAACTATAAGTTGTGAAACAAAACCATGGTATGGATTCTATTTTTACTTTTTGGAATGTGAGAATATAAGACAATTCTTGCGAAATTTTAACACCAAATTTAGCAAAGACTTCAAGTTAATTTACTAAGTTTATGATGTAAGCCTATAAGATGAGGTTATAATATATTCATAAAAGTTTTAGAAGTTTTTCTTAAGGTTTTATATTGATTTATCAATCAATTAATGGCTCCTTGATTGCTATTTCACACTAGACAGATTTTTGTCTTTGATTTCACCTCAATCTTGTTGTGGACCAAATTTTGGTTATTTTCCTTCCAGACAATAAGCACTTTCGTTTTTGCTCCAGACAAGAACTTGCTACTGATTCAACCCCCCTTCTTTTGGTTTAAAAACAGCAACAACAACAATATATGTAGGACCAAAATAAGCCACAATAACAATGAATAACAAGGCAGCATCACAGAGAATCAAAATCAACAATAACAATAATGGACGAGCCAACAACAGCAAAAAATACCAAGCAAATAAAAAATAATTTGGCATGGGGGATTAGCCATTATACTATATTATCAGACTTCTTTGTTGTGGTTTTTGTTGTAGCAAGCTCGGAGGAATTTGTGGCTTTTATGCTATATAGGAACTGGGGCTTTGACTGGTGGAACAGAGAGGAGGAATAAAGGTTATAGGAGATAATTCTCTATTTGATGTCTTTTTGAGAAAATAATATGTACAGTCAGTTGTTGCTTTAAATAATTAAAAAACAATCCTTATACATCATGAGTTGACTTCAATACAAAAGAAAACGGATTCTTAAAGAAAATCCATGATATAGTCAACCATACATATGGATAACTTTCAATTTTAAAAATAATTACATTAGATTTTATCATATAAACTTATCCATAGCAAATCAACATTTGTCTATCCTATTCTATTATGGATTTTTACCCAAAAAATCATCTTTCTTGCCTCGCAATTTTCATCATCAAGCCTTCAATTGACGATCTACCTTTGTTGGCGGGCTCCTGGCTATACCCCTTTTAATCTTGATAGTGCAATTTAAAAATCAACACCATTGTTAATATCCACCGAGAGATTGAACTGTTAAAACATCAATAAGAATGTTCCCTTTAATATATTTACAATCTGATCCCTAAATCATGATTGTTGAAAATTTGATTGGTGTTATACTAGTTATTGTCCTAAGATTATGTGTTCTCCTTTTGAGTGTATTTCACTTTTGTGAAATCATAACTTGAGGTGGAGGAAAGTTAAATTTTCTGCATCCTAATTATACCACTTTATTATGTTACCAAATAACACGTAAGGAAGTATCTCGAAGATTTTTCAAAACTTTTTTCGAGAGATTCCTAGTTTATGGAGCTTTGACAACATTTCTTTGATGTATAATACAACTTACCTCATAAAGGTATAAGTTGTCCAAGATGACTTGGTACATGACTACGCTATTTTAAAATATTATTAAATGATATTTTGAAGGAAATATTTTTTATAAGAATATACTTAATAAAATCATGAGATGCTCTTCAGATCTATATAAGGTTGTTGGATTAATGTTGATGACTTTGAAAGTGGTGCTAATTCCTTTAGGATTTATTGAAGGGCTGCTATAGATCTTTGAAGTAATTCAATTTATGTTTTTAAATTGAAATGGGGATTGCCTTGTCACTATTATATTAATATCATTGAAGCAAGAAGAATCCTTTCAGGT